AAAGAACCGAACAAAACTGTTGAAGACCCAAAGAAATGTGTTGAAACCTCTGAAAAACCGTGTTCTATACCCGTTCCACCGCTAAACGAAGCTCAGAATTCACCACCAATTGCTCAACAGTCAAATTCCCATGTTAGCTTATACAAGCCAACTGATGACCCTTGTTAGTACATCGTATGATCTGATTCTTTTTTAGCTTCCTATGGTATTATGTAAAATGTATGTATATTTTTTTTTTTTTTCTATTATTCCAACTTAATCCTACTTAGATAATATTGAAATGTCAAAATGGTTCCTGTCTTTAATTTTTGTTTTTTTATAACTTTAAGATTCTTTTGTTTAAGTATATTAACAAGATAATGTAATTACTTATATTTTCTTTAAACTATCGACATAGATCAATTATTTAAAATGAATTATATTTATTGAGTTTGTCATTTCCATAAGCTAACTCAATTATAAAATGAATTTGAATGTATTACTGTGAAAATGCTTTCAATATCGTACATGTATTGTTATTAAACTTTGTGTGACCATTAATAGCATGTACATGAATGTTTAAACATCTATTAATGGTTAATTAACAATTCAATTATCTACTACTAAATTATAACACAATACTTTAAACTCTCGATTATCTATAGTCTCCCGCAGAACTATAAGAGTTATGTATATATATGTAAATAATATAAAAAATCATTAGAGAACATACTAAGTCATAAGACTAAGACTTAGCCCCAGAAAGCTATATTGTTGATGAAAATCCTATTCCGTATAAGGATTTTTAAATCGAAAAATGGACATATTTTTTTTTGTCGAGTTTTTGCCTCCCAATGTGGGAATATGCTTATCTGTGGTTCCCACACCACTGTTCAGTGGTTAATCGAGAGTTTACTGTACTTATTTTTATTTCTATTGTTACATCTTCTATTTAAATTACATATTTTATAAGGTTCATCTTTAAAAATTTGAATGTGTATTATGGATCTCATTACAAATATTGTTACAATAACTACTCGTATTTTGTACTACTTAATTAAAACTTAAAATAATAATTACAAATAAAATACAAGTATTTAATAATATTTTAACTATTTATTTTATTTGAAATTTAAAAATGATTAAACGTAATAGATCATGAAAATATGTTCAACCTTTAACTGCAAAAGTTGGAGGCCAGGGAGCCTAGTGTGTTGAATCAGATTGGGCCTTGAGCCACTGAACATTTGATGATATACTAATATAAGTATGTTAAATACCAAACAGTCATAAGCTCACAACTATTGAGCTAGTAGAAATAAGAAATACAATGGGCTCATGGTTGAAGCATATAGATTGTAATGTGTATAGTAGGAATGTATTAGCATTGAGTATATAATATTGTACAATATATACTTTATGGGATTAAGTATAGATTAAACAAGACTTATACTAGTATACATAATCATTACATTATAAGTAATCCGTAATGAATAATAATAGTAATGTGAAAAATATCGGTAAAAAATACTCCAGTGGCCAGAATTCAGATTTAAGGAAAAAATTGACTAGTTGAAATACAGAGATGACTAATTGTGTGGAACTTTCAAACCGCTTTTGGTCACTACAATATAAACTATTGTGCTTTTTATTTTTTATTTTGACAAATAATTATTGAGATTTGGTATCAATGTATTTTAAAGTAACTTTTCTTAAAAAACATTCTAAGAAATTGTTTTTGAAAATTATTATTGAGTATCACTATTTTTATTGTGTGATAGATACTGCAGTGATAATCTTATAAGAATGTTTGTTAATTTGTTAAAGTTTTTATTATTGGAGACAACAGGTTTTCATGTTTTTTTCAAACATGAAGATGCAGTCAACTATCTAGTTGAATTTTTTAATTCGTCGGAACCGAACAGTATGCCGCCGCATTGCTTGAATTTGAAGGTCGGCTCATCAATTGTTCTACTACGGAATTTGAATGCAACAAAACTGTGCAACGGCATAAGATTAGCTGTAAAAAGATTGATGCCGAATTTAATCGAAACCACAATATTGACTGGCAAAGCGAAGGGGGAAGTTCCTTCCCACTCATCTCACGTATTCCTCTGATAACAACAGACATGCCATTTGAATTCAAACGATTGCAATTCCCCATGCGCCTATTATTCGCCATGTCCATCAATAAGGCACAAGGACAAACGTTCCAAGTATGCGGTTTGAAATTGGAGGAGCTTTGTTTTTCGCACGCTCAACCATACACTATACTGTTCAAGAGTTGGCACTCCAAATTCTTTATTTGTGTATTTTGTATGCCCCAAATGGACAAACAAAGAATATTGTTTACCCAAATGTGTTGAATTGATAATAAAGAAAAAATTTTATGATTTTTATTGCATTTTTGTTTTGGTGCTGTGAAGCGCACAGGGGTCGACTATTAATTATTATAAAACTAAATCTAACTTTACAACCTATGTGCTATTATTTTCGTGTGAAAATTCATGTCGTTTATTTAAGGAATGTTGCTAGAGGACGGAAAAAAAGAAGGTAAACAATAAACATCAGATCTAAGAATTTCATTTAGAGAAAGCAATAACTACACACGAGCGAAGTCGGGTTATTCAGCTAGTTATCTATATTATGTTAATATGTATATTTTTTTTAAATTGATTATTTATAAATATTTTTGATATGATTTAAATAGGAGTATTAGGGAAGGGGTGTGCGGTCATAACGTTTAAACAAGTGATGGGGACACTCTTTTTTAAAAAGTTAAAAGTCCCCTACTTTAATTTTTCTAAGTCGAGCCCTGCCTACTTTTATACTTCAATACTTTAATCAATGATGAAATCCAACAAAATAATTATTTTTATGTATTTGTATACCTGATGGTACCAGTGGCGTATCCACGAGGACTATAGGGGCCTCACCCCCCCCCCCCCCCCCCCCCAGCCCTGTTTTGGTATATATCTTACATGATTATAGGCAAAGTACAAACCATTATATTTCTGTTAACGCTTTTAAAGAGACATATTGCATATTATCAATTACTTGTAGAGGTTATTATGGTTATGGGATATAATAATAATGACCTAGTGTAAGGTAACGGTTTTTAAATTCTGATTTATTTTGTTTAGCCCCCTCCCAATGAAAAATCCTGGGTATGCCGCTGAATGGTCAACAACTTACTAAATTATAATTTATTAGTAATAAATTATTACCTACACATACTATTTTATCAAGTATTATTCAATTTCTGTTATAATTTTATGAATGAATAAAAATGTACCTACCTAATAGCTATAAATGATATAGATGATATAGATCAATGAGTGTACAAACTTGTATGGAATACTGAGTAAATATTTTTATTTGTATTTTCTCAATGTTGTTACCCCTATCACTTTTCTGTTTATAATATAAGTATTTAATATTATATTCTGTGAATATGGAATACCTATTACCACCATTATTATAAATTAGTATTTATTAGTAATTATTTGTAAAAAGAATATTTGATATTTTTAATTAATATTATTAATTTTTTATAAAACTAATTATTTAAATTCCTTATGAGGAAAGTACCTCATTTAAGTTGATATCAGATTCAATAGCCATTCGACAAATTAGTAAGTTCACCAGAGAACAAACCATAAAATATGATCAGTACTATTGTATTTTGCATATTATGTTAGCATACATTTGATATAACAACTATAACTATGTGAAATAAATAGAACAATTTAGTTATGCTTAAATTATTTAGAGCCCAGCTATATTGATGCAGTACACAAGCATATATATTTTCAAGTCTTAGCACACATTTTATACTAAAACAAATTAATAAATAGAAAAAATTACCTTTTAATAAAATGTGCATCCGTACAACACAACATTATGTAACAGTTATGGTAAAACTATGTTTTACTCAATTCTGTCTATAATCTCTGATTTTCTTTAAACATTTTGCACAATATTCACTAGTTAGGAAGAGTAGAAAACATGCTTCAATTTAGAGGTTTTGTTACATTATAAAAGACAATTTTAAATAGTTACTAACTAAATTAAAACAGCAGTTACAAATTTCAATACTTAAGAAATGTAAGTTACAATTATAAGATATTGTAACCAATAAATCCAACCAAACTGAAAACCAAAACCCAAAAACCTATCTCCAATTTAAATTATATTGTACCCAATAATAAATAATATCAACAAACTAAATTTAAAAAAAAAAAACATTAAATAAATATTGTTATAATAATTGAGCATATTTATAAGTATATATCTAATAAATAATTAAAACCAGATAATCAATATCATTTGTAACATCTGTTGTGGAAAGGTGTACACTGTACATAGATAATTTATTAAGGAATTTGTAATTTTCACAAAAACTATAACATTTATTGTTCAATCTAAATTTCATCATAATGAACAAACTCAAGTGTTTTGCGATAATAATGTAATAAAAGAAAAATATATTTATACGGATAAGTATATTTGTTTGATATATTTGTGTATGTAATAAATAATATATATATATACAATATATTAAATCTAAAAAAATAGTAATCTTCATACAATAATAATATATTAATATTACCAGTTAACTTTTTTTGAGCCACAAATAAATATTATTTCTGAGTACAGATAACCTTACACGACACTATTGTATTCAAAAATAAGAATACCAACAAACAAATAACTTTTAAATTAAAATTTTGATTTTTATATAACTAAACTGTAAATGTAATATTTTTGAGGCACATCTATATAATACATTGGTCCAAATCAATAAATTCAAAATACAGTTAACTTATTACAGGTGTCTGAAAAGATATTATCTGTAAATCCACATTATAATCACAAGTCCAATAAACGGTAACATACAATATCGTTACCAAAAACTAACTAGTTTAACAAGGAAGCATAAACAGAGCCTTAATATGGATAACTTTATCACAACAATAAAAAAATAATAATAATAATATAATGATAAAAAGAGATTTTACAATCAGATCTATTGTATTTTGTTTTGGTTTACATTTAAAATAGACAATTAAAAGACAAATTTGATTATTGCTAATTGTATATGGAATAATATAATATAAGTATAAATGTAGTTTAAGTTTACAGCAGACTGTTTTATCAATTAATAAAAAAAAAAATGTATAAGCAAGCTTTTTACGGATATCAATACATCTACCTAAAAACAAATAGGTAATTTTAAATTCAACGAAACTAATTTTCTTATTTGTTGTTAGTTTAAAGATATGTTTTTTTATTGACTAATGCTGAGTAATAAAACGGTCTTTCACGTCCAAAAGAATTGTATGTTAAAATTAAATTAATATATGGTTTTATATAATACACATATATAAATATTAAAATTCATTCTTATTTCATTGGTTTTTTTTAAAAAAGAAGTTTAACTTGAAAACGTAAAAAAAGCTGACAGTTTTATTCAATAGCATAATAATAACTAATAGTTATCATACTTCCGTGTTAAGGAAAATCATATAATATTTAAAAGCTGAAGTTAATTTATAGTGTAAAATTATTTTATGAAAATAATAAACGTGAACTAAAATAACCAACAAAAACATTGTCAACAAAAAAAGTATGTTGAGATTATAATACTCGAGTTTAAATAAAATAAAAATACAAATGGAAACAAATAATAAAGAAACTGATAATTAACAATCTGATGACACAGTGGAATGTTGGGTAGAGCTTTTGGGATCTGGTTCGCCATCACATATATATTTACCTGAAAGAATTAATTGTTTTAAATTAGTTTAGATTATTTAAAAACAATATGTGATTATTTTTATGTTTATAATATCGGTGTTAATGAAACTTCCAGTTAAAAGGATGCTACACCCACATGTGTTGTCTGCTTCTTACGAACGTACAACATAGCAAAAACTGTTTTGCCCGAAATAGATCCACTCAAGCCGTAATCCAAACTAAGCAACCATATATGCATACTATTAAGAGAAGAATTACAGTGTAACATTGTTTTTATTTTTTCGATATCACAAATACAAGAAAAGTTTTTATTGTTATAAATTAATTATTTCAAACTTGAATAATTTTTCTTGTATTAAATACAAATTTAACTAACTACAAATGCAAATTTTGCGATATCAAAAACATAAAAACAATTTTACACAGTAAATGTTGTCTTGTTTATAGTGTAAAAATTTGATTGCTTAGCTTGGACTACAGCTTGAGTGGTTCTTTTTTGGGCAAAACAGTTTTTGGTATGTTGTATATGTTGTAAGACGGATACAACACATGTGGGTGTGGTGTCCTCTTAATAGAAAAAAATGTAATTAAACTTATTATTATACTATGTATACATGCAAGAATTAAGTATAAGAAGAATCTTAGTAAAAAAAAAAGTAAAAATTTTGCAAATATTTTTAATCAATATTTATTCGCATAATGACATTTTTGACATAATTGACACTTTATAATAGACATGAATAATATTAAAATTTTAAATGAGATAATTTATTCAACAAAAAATGTATACAGGATAACGAAGGAAATATCATTCTTATCCTGAATAATAGTTATTTTATTTGTATTATAAATGAATAGTAATTCAACCATAATTATTATTTTTTTTTAATGTCATTTTTATCATTTTCTAATTTAATTTATTAAATATATGCTTGTCCGTTTTATTGTTTTCATATTTAAATGGGCGCAACCCGTATAAAGTATATTAATATAATTTTTAACAGTAATTATTAATTAATAATGGAAATTTACCAGCAACAAAACGTCTTTTGATTAATGACACTCTATAACCACTACTTGCTAGCTCAAATTCTAGCCCTGATAATGTAGTACCCTCGCAGTTAAATTGAGTTACTATAGTTGATATTGGACATAAGCTGTCAACCTCAAATCTTGCTTTTAGTGAACCGGAACCTTGACTTTCTGAATATTGAGCTAGTTCTGCAAACCTCCAACTTACTGTTTTTGTGTCTGGTGCCCTGTAAATATATTATGTTTATATCTATAAAATTATGGACTCAACAAAATTGAGATGGATCAAAATTACCATTGGGCAGTTGGCTTGGACTGCATATTACGTATAGCTGAATTCAAATTAGCTGAAACAGTAACATTTAGTAAAGGTGAAGGAACACTCATCGAGTGACTATTAAACTTGTAACCAATTTTAAGATCCGTATAAGTATTACTGCACTTGTAAAACGAAACTAATTGGAAAGGACATGAAGCAGCTGCAGTATTGCGCAATTTTACCTAAAATAAAAAATAAAAAATAATAAAATGTTTTGTTAATAATCATAACATTAATGTAACTAACTTGATATTTAAGAATATCAACATTAAAATAAGATGCAACAGGATTTTGCTCAAATTGTTTACGTAATAAAGAAGTTAAAGCTGGCATATTGAACTCATAAACAGTTGAATCAGTAGATGTAAATGAATTATCACTGAAATAAAAAAAAAAAATTTAGAAAAAAAATTATTTTTTAATATTTATTGTCAAAACTCCTTACGTTATGACTAATTGTTTGTTCGGAAGAATATTTTCCACCCTTGAAGTGTTCTTTAATCGAAACGTTAATTTTGCTGGATTCGGATTATTTGCCAAAATATTTGCAATACCCGCAGGAAACGATACCATCATATCTCCAAACATTTTTACTTGACACCTAAAATAACATTTCAATAATAATAATTTGATTGACACAACTTGAAATATCAATTTGTTTATAATTTATTATGATGATGATCTATATTCTATAGATTAAAAGTGACCACAATTGAGACGTGAGCTAATTAAAAAAAAGATAAACTACAATAAAGTACACCTTGAAGCAGTTTTCCCATTTAGAGTTTAAACTGAAGAAGTTATGTTGTTTTATACACAATTAATTAACTTATAAAACAAACCACTAAAATTATTTATTTCAAATATGCAACAAACTATCAGAAGTATTTAACAGCTTGTACTTTTGTTAATAGTTGTTAACATAAACAAAGTTATCACTTACAAAACATAATATGGCAATTTTTATGAGTAAAAACTAATAAAACTAATAAATAAAAATGAATAACCCGATAGTGGAGGGGGAGACGCAAGTACAAATGTTGTTGGTCAGTTATGGTCTATCCTGCTGTTGACTTGTTACACATAATAACTTAATAACTTTATACATTGGTACATGTGACTTATAACAAACGTGGTGTATACTTGGAAAAAATAAATAAGAATTAGTGATATCACAATAAAAACCATCCAATGTCCTGTGTGAGAAAAAATCTTTCGGCATTATACGGTTGTGATATCATATTATTGTATTGCACTAGGTTAGATTAGGGACATCTTGTCTGTCAAGAAAGATGAAGAGCGTGTGATGCAACTTGTGGGGAGGCAGATTAGATGAAACTAACCTAACCAGTTGTTGTTTATTATTTCTTAATATAAGTATATGATAATATTTGCTCTGATCATCACAACATATATGTATTTGATGTTTATAATTTGATGATTTTATATAATTTTCTGATAATTATTGAACAATAAATGATACAACTAAGGTGGAAGTAATAATATCATGGTTCCCATCACGGTTGTAAAACCACACAAAAGAAATATTCTTAATCCTGTTATTATTTACTTAGCAAGGATAAACATATACATATTAGGTTACAATTCTATATGAAAAATGTCTGTAAAAATGTTCTTATCAAATAAATAACTAATAGTATTGATTACTTGATATTTTAGCTTTACTAAGCACAATAAAATATGTATGATAATACACAACGTTATAGTTTAATAACTTTATACCCAGCCTAAGATTTTAATGTTAATTTAACCTTTTTTTAAAAAAGAAACATCATAGAGGATTCTCAATGTTTCAGGATATTTAAAATAATACCTCGATTCATTTGATCCTTTGAAATATGCATGGATTATTTCATGAAAAGCAACAGCCAGTGGAATAGAATCACATAATCCAATTGTTAATGGAGATGGTCCTCTAGATGGTCCTAAAACTCCGGAAGATCGAAAATCAAGACTTGACACACTGTCTGTTCTGCCAATACTTATTGGACTCAGTTGATTACGGGGTCCATTGTTCTGTATTTGATGAATAAAACATTTGATTAAACTGATAAGAAATGTATAATTTATATACAATTTATACATTTAAATAGTATTCAAAATATTTATTAAGTATAGTAACTTTACAAATATTTAAATACTTATTTTAAAGCTGTTTACAGTTATTATATTTACAGTATATATGCTAAAATTTCTCTTTAACATTATTAATTTTGTAGTTATATATTTTTAATTGAGCAACAAATACAATAAAGATCCCCATGACTCCAAATGCTGTTTCTGGACTTTCAACAGGCATATAATAGTATCAATTGCAAGCAACTGTGTATAGCTCTAAGACGTTTTGGTTAGGGAACTATTGAGACTAATCCAGCTGTGTAATGAACAAATGTATTGTAAAGTGTGTTTTTAAGGAGAATTATCAACAATATTTAAAAGTGAGACTATCCTGAAACAAATAATGTACTTGTTCATCCAGCCCTAGAAAACTTGATTGGAAACACACCGACCTCGAAGAAATGGAATTAATTAATACTATACTCAGCTCACTTATGGAAATGACATTGTTCTACTAAGAGAATCCAAATACGATGTTTAGGAGAGTGCAAGAAGGCCAATATTATCTAGCTGCAATATAGGAGTAGTTGTAAATGAAAACAAGAGAAAATATATGATGATGCTTAGGAAGTAAAAAAGCAAAAATGAATGGTACTCGCTGCACTGAAGGGTTTACATTCGAGCAGGTAGGGGACTACCTTCAAAGACTTAGGAGTTAACATTAATAATATGCAGAATGAAATCAAAATCAAGAAGAAAATGAATACGGCAAAATATGTTTTCCCCCAAATTACAGTCTAGGTGTACAAAGGCCTTTATTCTATGCACATGAGACCTATAGTGAACTACGCATGACAGATGTCGTCTAGCACTCAGGGAGATAAAGATAGACTACGGTAATTTTGAGAGAAAAATATTGAAGAATAAAAATGGTCCGGTGTACAAATGATTTGGAAATTTTTCATAGAAGAATTAATGAAAGTCTGAAGCAGTTGTATAATAGCAAAGTTTACAACATATCTGTCAGAAAGACGCTGAAATAGGCGGGACATGTCTCGCGAGCAAAAGTTTCACTCATTAAGAAGGTCATGGAAAATAAGTTGACGGGGACAAGACCAAGAGGCAGGGCTTGGCAGAGATGATACAACAAGTCGAAGTAGAACAGAATCTTAAGAAGGTCAATTTGTTGATAAATATGTAGAATAGAGAGAAGTAGAAGAGTGTTGAAATTAATGATGGTCCTCAATGAACCGTTCTAAGCCTTAGAAAAAAAAATATAATAATATACTAATACATTAACATGGTACAAAAATAAATATGTTGTGGTTAAAAGTTTGAAGTTAAGCTTAGTAGTGTCAAATAATCACCATATTATCATTATTATTACCAAAATAATTCTACAATTACCTCACGTCGAGAGGGAGGGCGAGGTATAGATATAGAACACACCGGAGGAGTGGTTGATGGAGGTCCCTGTTTTGGAGTAGACTGTTGAGCATCTCCAACATCGAAAAACAAGTCGCCTAGGTCTAAAAATGTTTTAATTTTATTACATTACACTTTTTCTTCTTCTATTATTAGATAAAATTATATTAATATTACCTGCAGCATATCTTGAAACCACAGGAAAAACATTTGGCGGAGAAATAGATTTATTAGTTAATGATATTGTAGGACTATTCATTGAATTGCTTTGCTGAACTGGAACTGGGCTAGGAGTAGGGTCACTGGGTTGAAACAAATTCAGTCCTATCAGATCATTACTTATTTTTCTAAAATGTATGAAATTGTATCATCATTAATTAATAAAAAATAAATGTTTTATTAAATTCTTGCTTACACAGTATTCAATTGTTGAGAAACAGATTTAGAACGTTTCATAGTACCATCATCATTAACTGATCCTCGTCGATTCTAAAAATTAAAATTTAATGTAAAATTTGATACATTTTTTTTTTCTAGCTACCTTTAAAGTATGTGCTCCTAAAGGTAATAATGATATGTTTTCAACAGTAGCTCTTAATTCATCAACACTTGCACTTATTGGACCTGCCCCGTTACTTAATGGTTTTATCTCAACATGTAGTCTTTTATCTCTTTCTTCATCTATAATTATCAAGTCATTCATAATAAGTACTCGTGGTTTTAAACTACAACAAGAAAAAAATTAAGAACCTGAATCAGAAGAAGAATCAAATGTTTCTTCTTTGTCAACAGGCCACTGTCCTGATGGCTGAATACAATATCCTTCATCATCTATTTCTGGAGCATTATTTTTTGGCTCCTCTTCTTTTTCTTCGCTAAAATTAATACCATAATATTTAGAATATCACAAAATATATGTAATGATTCAATTTTTATTTACTTGTCGGATTTATCTTCTTTGCCAATTGTTTCACCACTAGAGTCTTTTTTCTTTTTAGTTTTCTTTTCTTTGCGTTTGTCTCGTCTGCTCCTTAAAAACCCTGAACACATTTTACATTCCTTAACCATATTATATAGAAAATACAGACCATTGAGCACACTATACAAAGAGACGAGTTATAACAATATAATAAAGGTATAGTAAAAAAAAATGTAATATTTTAAGATACTAGGCACATTCTCTTTGTATTTTGCACTTAGAATCATCTCAATAAATAAAACTAATGATAAAATAACTGTGAACAACATACATGCACTAGAATACAAATAAAATTTCATTATAAAAAAATAATATAGATAATTATTTAAAACAAATGCAACAATAAAAGCCATTTCAAAGGATGTATAAAGGATGAAAAGAAAATAATTTCGGAATGTTCTGTAGTTAATATGTGATAAAAATATACTTATAGCCGCACTTATAGTATATTTGGCCACCTTGAAATAAGTTAACTTGAAGGTTGTGTACTTGTATGACAGCATGCTAAATATAAAGATATGTTAATAAAAAAGATTTAATTTTTAGTTTTAAAAGCATAGTTAAATGTGACGATTAACTATAAATAGTCCAAAAATTAAATTTTTATATATTTTTAAAATAATATAAATTGGTAAATTTATTGATAACTTTCAAAATAAATAATATAGAAAATCAATAATTTATAAAACTATAATATTTTTGATTACATCATTGAAAAGTTTTATTTTCATAGAAGATAAATATAACACAAAAATTATTTAAGATTTTTAAATTGAATATGATTGATGCATAAAATACTACCTAAATATATATATAGACAGATACCTAGACAGAAAAAAATATGTATACTATTTTGACCATTCTCCTTAATACAAAAGTGGCTAACTGATTTGTAGTTGATAAATTCAGTTACTTCATGATTAAACGCAATAATTAATCATACTAAAATTACTTACTAATGAAAAAAAATTGAATTAATGGCGCAGTCACAAATGCTACTTTAGATCATTATTTTGTTTATTGGATTTTGTTAAGATATATTTGCTTCAGATAGAAAAATATATTATTTTTGAACAATTTAATGTGTACAAAAAATTAATAAGTTAAAGCATAGAATTGCATTTAATCATTATAATAAAATTATATTTAACATCTATAGTTTGCTTCAACGAAATGTTTAGATAAATATATATGTATAAAATATGTTTCAGAATAATAACTAGTGCATTTGACAACAATATACTTCTACATTAGAATTGAAATGTTTATTTTACACACAACTAATTAGAAAATAATGTATACATTTCAGTTATTTAATTATTAACTATAAAATTTGATTTATCTGAAACTTACTTCATTCATATTTGTTTTAACAGTAAATATCAAATATAAAAACTCAAATTAATCTGAATATAGCGCTTAAGAAGGGAGCATAATTCATTGATCTAAAGGAAAATATGCAACAAAAATATGTAAGCATGCAAGAAACTTTTCACCTAAGGATCAATAATAATAAACACAAATTACATTTTGATCCACGAATAGAATTCTGAGGAAGTGAATAAGCTGTGTGATCAGCACTTAAACTGACAGTTCTGTTTGATTTTGAAAAAGCACCTGTAACACAGCTTTTACTTAAATAACAACACAAAAGCTTATGATTAATTTATATAAATAATATGCATGCATTATACATAATTTAGACGGACAATAATGAATAATGATCAATGATAGATACATTTTGAACAGCATAGTTATTGAACTTAGTATTTTGTAATATGTTGTTACAGTTAATATGAATAAAAATGTACTTAACAGTTATTATAATCAAGTAATCAAAAAAATAAAATTAAGACTACTTAGAAATTTTAAATGATTTTCTTCCCAAAAAATATTTAAAAACCAACAAATTTAGCTTATGAGATTAAATCAACAATTATTATTAACACAAATTACTACAAAATTATAAAAAATTATTATTATTCAAAAGCACTAATGACAAATAAAATTCTTGTTTGATTATTTCATCATTCATTTGTTGATAAATATACTACTGTTCTTCAATACAACAGGAATATAATATGATATGGTACCAAACTTTGGACCGGACCAAATATACAATTCATGAACGTCCATAAATGTTTTGTTTATTTTAATTATTTCTACACTTTTCAACTTTCTTATGGCTATAATCAATAAATAATTATTTTACACAACTCATACAATATCCAAAAATAATGAATAATAATAAATCAAAACATTTTAGTAAACCATTCTCAAATTCCTACAATACCATGCAGTAATAATTTTGTTTAAAAATAACTTCATTGATACTGAACTCATGACCCAAGAGATGAAAAATAAATAGGTTAAATTTTAAGCTTTTACTTTTCATTTTTGACATTAGACATTCCCGAATGAAAGTTTTAATATTTTATCAAGTCATTGAATTATTAAAATTTTAAGGTTAGATAGGTAAATTGTAGGTACTGTAAGGAAATAAAATAATTATCAACAATATATAGTTGAATATAATATTTTGTTAGCGAGATTTTCCTCTTGTATGTGATCAGAAATAACTGACAATAGGCTGTGTGTATCACACAGTCCGCCACATTGTAAAATGATAATAGTAGTCATGATAATAACAATTTGGAACCTTACAGTACTTAATTTGTATTAATATAAATAATTTTTGTAAAAAAAGCAAACACAGTTTCAATTTAATTTTTTTTTTCAACGATATTGTTTAAACTATCAACACAGAAAGAATTAAAATTATGTTTGCAAAATCAAAATAATTTAAATACAACTGCACTCCAAGTGTTTATGAGTAATGAAATTGAAATAATGAAGAAAATGAACACTAATATATTAAGGGGATTGGTCAAGTCATACTAACTAGTATACATCAAAAACGTAATCGTATAAAGCAACTAAAAAGATGTTTGATATTACCGATTGCTGGTACGGTGCAGAAAAAAATTCTACTATAATAGCAGTTCCGGTAGGCCAATTGCGAGGTTGAAAAAAATTTATTGTTAAATGAACATACCATGGGAGTTGGAGATGAATATATTGAGTAAGGATGTTGCTCTGGAGGACTGGTAATTGGTAGCATCTTTCTTGTCCCTTACACGGCAATTACCTTCACGTTTTGCCGTAGAAGGCTTTTCAGACGCTACACTAGCTGCACATGAATTTTGTGGAGTACCCGTGAATACTGGTGAATTGGTTCCTTGAACTGATTTTGAATCACTCGACGAGTCCGGAACCTGATTCAAACTACTAGAAGTGCTATTCAGACAAACTTCTTCAAATTCGATATTTTCTTGTAAAAGCAAAAACAAATTAGAGTAAGAAGTTGAATACAACTAAAAAATGTATGACTGCATAGTATGATATATACGGTTAGGATGTTTATGACTAAATTACTTTTACATTTTATTTCTTTTAGTCGGACACAATCGGAGACCAAATTATAAATATGTATAGTATGACACAGAGGCATTTATAATTCTTGAATACTTTTTTATTTTTATTTAATTTAGTTACATCGAAAAAAAAATGTTATTGGCTTGATTTTAAATTTTAACTACTAGGGTAACCAAATTAGTGTCTAGCCAAGGCATTAATTAAAGGTACTATAGTTAAAAGTTGCATCACTTTAGTAACCACTAAAAATAATAATAATTAAAAATATGTATCATTCCTCCCTTAATAAACATAAATTAAATTTGTCATTTTTTCAGTATTATCACCAAGTGATAACTCCCATATTTTATTTTATGGACAAAGAAATGTGATAGATCATCCATAGCAAAGAACAATATGTTTGAAAGCAACAGATAGTATGTCCGGAGTGGAGATTGTTAAATTTTAGATTTCAATGAACATTTTTAAAACTAATTGTTTTTTATTTAATTCGGGATATACATGCATACAATACATAAAAGCTACATAATCATGTCATACATTCTTTTACAAATATATTTCTGTAAGCAGCACCTATAGTTAGGTATTATTGTTAGTGGTGTAATTACTCACACAAAAGCAAAAATATAAAACATATAGTTCTTAATTGCAATCTATTAAAATGCATAGTATATTTTAAACATAAAATTAAAAATATAATTTTTAACACATTTCATGACATACTTGATTATTTTAAAGGTACACCTTGATAATTTATAAGTATGTTTGCATTGTTTTTGTAGTTTTTAAAATCATAAACATCCTAACTCTGAAAATGTGTAATGTATAGTACCTGGTTTCTCTAATCCTGTATATTTAGTTAAAACGAATTGCTCCAATAATTTGTCCACAGTCATTTCTAAACATTGCTTTTTAAATTCAACATGTACCTAAACATGGCAATATCATTAATTTATATATAATATGTAATCTTAGTTTGATTTAACCTAATAGAGAACAACAGTTATATCTTTGATTGTCACATATTCCAAATCAAAATACTAATTTTAACTAACCTTTCCAATTTCTTCATGATTTGATTCAATTAATTCAGTATAGACGTTGAGAAAATCTTTCATTTGTTTTAGATGTGATTGTTCCACTTCTTGGAAAAGCTATGAAAACATTTTAATTAACTCAATAAGTTTAAGAAGCACTATTCACTCTGTGTTAGAATAAAAAAACTTTTTTAACCTTGCACGCTATATTCATTTTTTTCTCAAATTCTTCCTTTACATTACTATATTTGTCAACTAATACTTTGTAATCATCTTGAGCTTTTTTTAATTTTATTTCGGCTTTTTCAATGTCCTTGGCAGAAGCATTATCTTTTCTGAGTTTATCCAACTCTCCACCTTTTTGTACATAAATATCTTTTGCTTTTTGTAAGGCTAATGTGGTTGACTGAATGGCTTGTACAGCATCTAAAGTTCCACTTTGTTCTTCTTTTACCTAAAATAATTTATCATATTAATTAAGAATTCTAGAAAAATAAGCATGTCAGTTGTAAATTGTAAGTTCTACTTACATTTTTATGTTTTTTTTGCAACTCATCTGTGTATTTAGTAACATCCTTTACTAATTCACAGACTTTATGCACCATCTGTATATGTATAGTGGTTAATTTCTCAATAGATAGACGAAGTAATTGCCATAAAGGATTGAATGTTCCTGTATTTGAACTACTACTTGTTTGTTTAGCTAACTTTGCAAGTAATTTTGAACATGTTTCTTCAATATTAGTCCTAAAAAAAAAAATATTCATTAGGCGTACACCTTCAAATAGTTAATCGGCTATATTTTCAGATACTATTTTAAAACAATTTATATGAGGTATTTACATTAAAAAATCAATTTACCTTTCTCTTAAAAAATCTGATAGATCCTTATTAGCAATCAATCCATGTTTCATATTATGATACAAAATGTCAAACCCATTATTTTTTTCGCCCTAAAACAATTGGAAAATTAAAATTATTTTTTGTTCATAATTATATGCAAAATATATGTATAAATGTATTATTTTTCAGATTTGGATTTGTGCTCTGTGCTCCGATTAGACTTTGGTCTAAACTCCTTGTTTCTGTATCCTTCTATTTCAACAAAGTGTATTCATTTTATACTAGCTACCTAGAACTTTCCTAGCTAAGTTACATTAATAAAGATATTTGTTTTATCTAATTATAACATAAATTTATTTTACTTGTTTTATTTATTTTGAAGTTTTATTAACAAGATATAAGCAAATATGTACTATAGATCAATTAAAAACCAAATCCATCATAAAGAATATGGTATTTTTATTTTTATTCTGTATTGTAACAAAATGTACCTATTTGGAATCAAACATTTTTTGGTTAAATATACCAAACTTGTTAATGAATCAAAATAAAAAACTGTCTAACCAAAGTCAAGGAAAGTTTTGTCAAGCATTACAATTTGTATTGTATATAACTGTCTTCAAAATACTAAATAGTAACTACTAACTAATGAATCATTAGTCTGCAGTATTACTTAGGTATTGCTATGTGCTTAGGAATACAGATGTGCAATTATTGAAAATAAACATTTATATGTTCACAGTACAGACATTCAAATTTTTAGAATAGACTCATATAGATACACTTAAGTTAATTTAACACTTACTTATCATGAATATGTCTATATTTTTCTCTTTAAAATATGACCAACTGCAGTCTTCTTAAACACAGTGATAAACCAATAACTACATAATAACATATTATGTATAAAATAGATTTATTAACTCAAATTTAGACTAAAATTAATAAAATAGAAATAAATGTTCTAAAATAAATACCAAGTACCTATAAAAAAATTAAACCACGATTTATTGATACAATAATGTGAAATTACATAGGTAGGTATATTAAGTTATATATTTTAACTGATTTAATTTTAAAAGCATAATTTAATGTTGTTTAAGACATGACCATTCTCAAGATCACTGAATTTTTTTTTGACTATTTTGAAAATTAAATGTCTTCATAATATCTTGTAAGTTGTTATAAAGAGGATGTCAGCACAATATTTTTGTACTCTTTTTGAACCATCAGAGAAATAGCAAAATTTTTATTTAGCAGTACCAATTCTGTGTTGTTTGTTGTTTGTTTTAATTTATATTGACATAATATGAAACCTCAAGTTAACAAATAATAATATTATGTATGTTTGTAAATTAGCTCAAAGTTAATAGCTTTTTACAATGTTTCAATTTGTATACAAGTTATGTGTACATCGGATATATCAAATATAATATCACACAATTACAACTAGTGATTAAAAATTTGCAGACAAGACAACAAACGCATGGGTAGAGTCCTCTCAATAACACATACATTTATAAAAAAATTAAATAGTTAGGTACTCTGAAAATTATTATTATTCAGTGAAATAATGTAATAGGGACACATTTAACCTTTTCACAACTAGATACACTATTTATGCTCTGCAACTTATATATAGGCACTACGTAAATTAAAATATTTTTAATTTTGAATGCATTATTTTTCTAAAAATTTTAATTTAGAGTTCTACCTAATGTTGTCTTGGAACATTAAATATACTAATAGAGTAATTATTCTGGTCATAGATACATTTTTAGTCAAATCACTGATTGATCAAGGGGCATAGAAAATATATGACATACAAAAATGTAGATGACATATAACGCTGTGTAAAATCGATCAATCGAGGGAATCATAATTACCCGGTTCAAAGAATCCTGTACACGGTACCCACAGTAAAATCGAATAAAATAAATGAAAAAATCAAATGGAGTCGTCGGGTCAAAAACATGATTGGTAATGATTGGAGTCAACTAAACATAATGAGAAACAATTACAATTGAGTATGAGTTTGTGTTGGTGGTTTAAATGACATGTGTGTGCGTGCGTTTACAACGTAAATCGTACGACTAGGATAATATGTCTGCCACCGCGAAATCCAACAACACTGTATATGTGACGAGAGACGACGACGGATAGGATCGATGCCATTGACGATTGATTCGGGGGAAGGTAAGGAGACAAGCGATTAATAAATATTTACCCAAAAATAGTCGCAAAAGTCAACAGTCATGATGAACGGCGTGCGGCGCAGGTCATTCCAAAATCAAAACGGAAGTGGCGAAAACGTGCGGCCGTTTCCTGCCGTCGTCGGCGTGCGTGATGGCGCGTATTGCGGTGGTCGTTGGACGGCGGCGCGCACGGAACGAGCGCGAAATTAATAATTATGTCACGCGTCGAGCAGGACGACTGCGGTGGTCGTGGAAGGAACACAGCTTCGGCGCGGAATTCGGTATTTCGTTCGCGTCGTCCGACGGCAAGGAAGAGACCGACCGACGGGACTGATAGCGCATTAACATTAACAACCAGAGTGTGCGAGGGAGACGGGGATGACTGATTGTGGAATAAAAAAAAAATTATCGGACTCGCTAGTCGCTATCACCGCGCGAGCCGAAAACGGTTTACGCCCTCTCGGCGGCCCCGCGCACCGCTGCCGGCGCGACGACGCGACATTGCGACACCGCGGCGCAGCACGCCCACGATGCGATCATGGAAGAAACCAGAAGCGTTCCGACGAACGCCTACCGCCGCCGCCTCCACCGTCGGTATGCGGTATAATAATACGGCACTTGTTATGCGGCGAGCGTACGATGCTGCGATACCGACGACGTACACACTACACACACCGTTTATTACGCAATATTGTTATTGTTGTTGTTGTTATTGTTGTTGTTGTTGATGTCGTCGCCCGTCTGCTGTAGCCTGTAGCCGGTGCATTCGATCACGCTCGATAGGAAAAAAATTAACGTTTTTTTTTTTTTTTAGATTAGGCGATTCCCCTATGAATCCACAGCAAGCGTGCCATAATTTTGCTCGATGTTGTATAATATTGTTGTATTAACCGTAGCTGCCAAAGTTAGCCAAGGACACTGATATTTTTGTTATTGACTATAGTTACTGCCCATACTTACATACCTACATTATATTAGGTATTGCAGTCGTTACAAATATATATCTATCGTGGATCAGGTGCTATAAGTTTAAAGTTGTAACGATCGTCATTTTAATTTTTCGGCGTCGCAATTCTCTGTCGGTTTCGACCGGTTCAGCGATTACGTCTTATTTGTCTGCTACGGTATACATAATAAATAGGTCATAGGATAGGTATATAGTTATAATGATATGTATCGTTCAGTCCGTGGGGGGATCAGCCAACGCGATACTGATCCGAGTCCGGTCCACTGGTCCGCCGTATAATATATATGTCAAGGCCGTGGACCACCCATTGATGGTGAGATATAACTGCCCCCCCCCCTTGGAAAATGTTTGAGACTTGGTATACTTGTTATTATTACTTATTGATTGTTGACCGACGCATGTCTTTTCAAAAAAACCAAAATGGTAGTACCTATAAGTAGTCTAGATGTACATAAATAATGTTCTCACAACTTAGTTTGAATGCATACTGTTAACTATTGTCTGTTTGACTCTGCTACCGGGTGATCCGTTAACGTAAGACTTAAAAACTATAAATATTTTCGAATATTTTTTTCACATAATTTTATGTCATTAAAAAACAATATTATTCAAAAAAAATTTGTTTTCTATTTCTATGTTGGTATTAATTTTTAATTTTTTATCGGCAACATGCATTTTTATTTCCTTATTCAGTTACTCCAAAGCAGATTTGTAAAAACCAAACCAAATTTTGGTCGAGTAATTTATGAACTATAACTTATAAGTTATAAGTATATGTATTTTAAGTTTCGTCGAACAGAGTGATGTATATACAGCTATCCATGTACGATGTACCTACACTAGCTAGTATTCCTCTCATCTAAACTTTAAATATATCATATAAGTTATGTATAGACTATATAGTAAACTATTTTTCTGAAATTTGATTCGAAATACTTCAACTAATATTCAGTTTCGGAATATGAAATAAAAAATGTCTTTGTCATTCAAAAGAGTAAAAAGCTTAAAAATGATAGCAATAAAAAAAAGTCAAAAACTATTGTTTTTAACAACTTAAAATTATGAATAAAAGAAATATTTTCAAGAACATTATTTTATCTGAAATAATTAGTCAAATGGTCGTTTAATGGATCACTCTGTATAGTATAATCAGTGCCATTACTGAGAATCACACTTCGCAGACTCTATACTTAGGAGTGAGCATGAAAATGTTTGGGCCTTAGGCAATCCTCCTATAGTTAATGAAACTCAAAGAAATAATAAAAAAATATTGAGAAATCAATGAATCGACTTTTATAAAATTAAATTTGTTTTCATTTATGTTATAATTTCAATACTATACTAGCAATGTAGTCTTATCGTATTCCGATAAAATTATTACATTTTTAACCACGACATGTATATACAAAAATACTTACGTTAATGCTTCATAATATTACATTATTACAATTCTAAATAGAATTTAAAATAATTATTTTCTATGTTGATATAACAGCTTATCAGTATTCAATACACTATTAATTAAATGGAAATAATAAATATTAAATAATAGCTTCGCTATTAAGCTGCAGTGGATACGACATTCTTATTTTCATGAAATTTTTTGCCAACATATAAGTATACAACGTAAAGAGCAATGATGGTTCTCACTCTCACAAAAGCTTCATCTGAGCCGAGGCCCGAGGTCATAAAGAAACTAACACTTAAACAAGACTGAAAAGAGGGACAATTATTTTTTTTAATAAAGAACATTAGTTTAGTTAAAGACAAGCTACCTGCAGCTATACATGTATTGTATAGGTACCTATATTTGTTTTGAAAAATTAAAGCTAATGAAATAACCTCGATGTCTTGCACCCAGTTTATATTTTACCTCAGAAAATTTTGAAAATAACTTTTTTACATGATTCAAAGTCATTAGAAAAGCATAACACTAACAATAACATTGAAAAAAAATTTTTTTCATAATTTTTTCTTTATGAATGAAACATACTACTTACACTTCAAATATCTACTTAGATTTATTATAAATATGTAATAATAAATACGAATTAGCAGTTAGCCTAATTTTTTTATTACAATGCTTAATGCTTATGCATATATAATAGGTATGTGCAGTATATTTAGGTGCAGTATCAGTATATCGTATATGGTATATATTCTTATTTTTGGACATTTCACCTTATTGAACCATTCTGGTAATGGATGCAAATACTCTGGTCCCAAAGTGAGACCAGCAAGCGAAGACTATAATATACTATATTATTTTTATATCATGTTTGAGACTTTGAGAGATTATCAATGTATAAGTAGGTATATCGTATACATAACTATAAGAAGATGGTACATATAACTGTAGTAACTACCTATAAGTAATTACTAATTTTTTTACCATGCATAGAAAACGATTATGAGGTATGAGGTAGGTAATAAAACATATAATTTATTATGAGGTAGGTAGGTACATATTATTAGGAAATTAGGTATATTATATTATGTACCTATACCTATACCAGCTATATATGGATATATATATTCTCAAACAACCTTGGATTTCACAAGTTTTGTTCTTTAGGCATATTGGCATACCTATTTTTTAATTTATATTTTATAAACATTCACCTATAGGCTATAGGTAACATTTTGTTTTAACTCCCCACCGATCCTCGGTGCAGTCTTCTCCACGCGCAAAACCAAAAACCTACTTCGGTTTGTCTCGAAAAACCATCTAGAATAACTAACAGGGATTAGCAAAATTAAAAGTACAAAAAATGGAATGCATCCGAGATGGTATAATATTATAATACAGAAGGTCTATATTATTATTGGTACCTATATATCTTATCCATACTTCAGTGGCGTAGATAGGAACTTTAATCGAGGGAGGAGGATATTTATTCATTATTTTAAGATAAATAGCAGGGTAGTGTCCACCCACAATAATATTTTGTATAAAAATGGATAAAATGGTAGTAGTCACTAGTCAAGTACTGATCTGCTGTCAAATAATTTGCAAAATTTTCAATTTGATATATTATTTTGACAACATTTAAACTTTTAATACTCATAAAAAAAATCATGCCCAAGTATTTTTAATATTTTTAAACAGCTATCATAACAACGTGCGAGGAACCTCGTATTCAATTTTCAAGTTAGAGTGAAAAAACTTTATAGACAATCATTTTTTTTAAAAAACTAATAAAAATCGAAATTTTCTTATGCCTATAAATAGCTAAAAAAAAAAGTCAAAATATTCTGAAAATTGTATTATGAATAGAAAATTCTAGTATAGATATTCGATGAAAATTTCATGTCTACCTATCCAAGGTACTGTTTTTTTTTTTAGAGTTACACCAAATAATTAAAAAACTAGTTATGCGTAAAAATCTGTTTTTCCTTAGTTTTTTGATAATTTTTTGATATCATAATTTAAAGTTGATGTCAATGAAATAAACAATACAATAACCATAATTTTTTTCGAGGGGGGGGGGGACTAAAGGACATAACCCTCGGGTGAGTCCTTACTTATCTAATATATATGTTTATTGTATATAGGCCACAGGGATATCTATTAATTACCCGGTCATTAGTAGGCCACTAAGGAAAGTTTAAATAAATATTTCAAAATTTTATCAACACATTATTCAACATCTATTTAAAGCAATTTATATTTATAATGGTATTATGTGTATTAAATATTTAAAAATAAATAATATAGGTAGGTAGGTATAGGGATAAATTGTTTGATCAATTGCTTGCTGTTGCAACCTATACAGTATAAGGCTATAACATTTAAAATAATAATAATAGGAAATTGTCAATAAAAACACAATGTCGCTTCTATGGACACAATATATAACATACAACATACTAACATAATATACCATTTATAGTCAATAATACTCTATATTATACTGAGTATAAGGTCTATGATTATACTAAATACATTTCTTACCCACGTACGCCGTACCTACCTATAAATTGTATTATAATTAGATACAATTTAATATTAAATGATGATTTTATATAAGTATAGCTACAGGGATTTTGATTTCTTAAAAAGTTAACTAATTTAATCTATGCTGTTTTAATGTATGTATTTCAAAAAGAACAATATAAAAATACAATTTTTTCGATCATTGATATTTCTAATTGAAAAATAAATATTAAAAATAGCTTCAATCAAAACATAGTAATTTTTTTAATGAATCAAAATCCCTTTTCAAAACTTGAATTCTAACCTTTCAGTTTGGTCTGGTGATTAGGTTTGAATATTACAAGTATATAGAACAATGCTAGCTGTATAACTTGCGACTTCTTCCTTGAAATAAATGAACAAATATACGGCGTTATGCAGGTGTACCTATATCGGTTTTATTGTACCCATCAGTTCACTTGCAAATCTGCATCCGTGTATATATGTAGATGGGCAATAATTGGATATTTGGAAAGGCTTTAGC